TAATGATGAATATACATCATTATCAATTTGTCAAAATCCATAGAATATACAACACCAAAAGTGAGCCCTAATGTAAACTGTGGATTCCAGGTGATAATGGTGCATCCATGTAGGTTAATTGATTGTAACAAATGTTCTACTCTTCTGAGGGATGTTGATGGTGGGGAGGTTGTGCTTGTGTAGAGGTAGGTGGGTATGGGAACTCTGTATATTCTGTTCAATTTTGCTGTGAACCTAAAGCTGCTCTAAATATTAAAGCCTATTTTAAAAACAAAACGTTAGCCTCTTACTACAATTCCATTAAATGGATTAAAGAAAAAAATAACAATACTAAGTGTTGGTGAGGATGTGGAGCAACTGGATCTCTTACACATTGCCAATGGGAATTAAATATTGGACAATGACTTTGGAAAACAGTTTGTCAGTGTCTTTCAAAGGAAAACATATACCTATCCAGTGACCTAACATTCCCACTCCTAGGTATTTGCCCAAGAGAAACCAAAATTTTTGTTCCCACAAAAATCTGTATATGAATGTTTATAGCAGCTTTATTTATAATTGCCAAAACTAGAAACAACCCCCAAACCTTCTTTAGTAGCAGAATGGTTACACCTCCTGTGGCACATCCATTCAATGGAATAATACTGAGTGATAGGAAGGAACGTGCAGTACTTTCAGAAACATGGATGAATCCCAAGTACATTGTACTAAGTGAAAGAGCCCAGACTCAAAAGGCTACATATTGTGTGACTTCGTTGGTTTGACCTTCTGGAAAAGGCAAAACCATATGCAAAACTAAATGGTATCACTTAGGGTGAGAGAAAGGATTTATATCTTGACAGTGGTGTGGTATCAAAAACTCACAAAACAGAACATTATTAAGGGTGAATTTACCGTGTGTAAATTATACCTCAACTAAGTCAATGAATCAAATTGAGTTTCCCCTGTAGCTCTGTTACCCAGCTCAGAGACTTGCAGTGAGGAATGGGAGCCTCATTCGCCTCTCCCCTTACCTGTTCTGCTTCTTTGAATTGGGCTCCAGGTTGAGAGGGGTTTGGGGGTGGTACAGGCAAGTGCAAGGTCTGCTCTGAATGGAGTCGTGTTAGACTCCTCTAGGTGGCAGATGCCCAAACTCTGGCCCTTGCTTTAAAGGGACAAACATCGTTTGGGTTGTATGCAGACTTCTCTGTTGGTCTCCAGCTAGTTCCTGGGCTTGGGTGACATACCCCCAAGATCACCGGTGCCTGTCCACTTCACTCTGGCTGAGAGTCCTTCTGTAGGGTTCTTCTCCTGGCGGGCAGACTTCTTGGGCAGGGATCTTCCATGATGACTGACACCTGGTTACCTTGCACTGTTTCTGGTTGGTAGCACAGGAAACATTTCTCTGTTTTGCACCCTGCAAGCACAGGCTGCTCCCACTGCAGCTCCCACTTCAGCCCCCACCCCTCATGCTACCACCAGGGACAGCTCCCATAGGCTTTTCCTCTTTAGACTTTTCCAGGGAAGAGGTGGGTTAGGTTCTGTTTCCCCGAAGCTCCAGGGAAGCCCCAGTCTCTTGGCTTGAGCCAGGTGGGGTGAAGCACAGCACTGAGGTGACTCTCCCCACGGAAAGCCCCTGCATCTATCCTCCTCTACTGGGTCAGTGCCTGCTCTGAGGTTGCTCTGAGGCTGTATGAGGGCATCACAATCTGTCCAAGTCCTGCCAGATTGTGTCTGGTGCTGCTTTTGAGACTGGGATATAGCAGCAATTCTGAGGCAGAAAAGTCCTATTTCACATCCTACTACACATAGGTATTACATTATTTTCACAAAACTGGAATTTTATACACATATCACCATTTTCTAGCCTGCTTTTCACTTCTTACTATGTTTTGAGCATCTTGCCACATCAGTAGACTGCTATATTCGTATCATTTTAAATGGTTGATGAATATCACTTATATAAATATACTTATATCCATCCTCACTTGTTGGCTGTTTTAGATTGTTTCTAATTTTAGATTATTATTAATAATGTTACATTTGAGGTGAATTTATGTCAAGCTGATGAAGGGGCCCCATTTGCATGAGGCCCTTGCAAATGTCTGGGAGTGACCTAGCAATTTTGTATTCATAATTTTGTATTCTTTGTGTTACAGGGGGCCCCTAAATTGTATAAACTTCAGGCTCCACAAAAACTGGATGTGTCCTTCGCTATGGCAAACATCTTCACACTCAATTGTTTTTTTGTTTTTGTTTTTGTTTTGGCTACGTCTGTATTTCCTTAGGATAAACTCCTAGAAACAGAATTGCTAGATTAAAGCAGATGCACGTTTTTAAGATTCTTGGAACATATTGCCAAAGGGCCTTCCAGAAAAGGTGGCTTCATTTACACTCCCACTCTGCCTTAAATGAGAACACCCACAACCAGGGCGGTTTCTAAGGGATTATGTTTCCTTGTTATTGTGGCTTGCTTGTAGCTCACATTCCCACCTTTTCCCGAAAGTAAAGGTTTTGATCTGAGATCCATGGGATCCGTGGGTAGAATTCTTGGGGTCTGTGAACTTGGTTGAGAAAAAAATTACATCTTTATTTTCCTCATTAGCCTCTCATTGAAATGTAATCATTCTTTCCATCTTGAATGTAGACCACGAATCCCCATAGAATTCGCAGTACAAATGACTGTAGCAGTTCTGTAACAAATCACATGTTTTCATGTCCTGTTACAGATCTCTCAGAATATCATTTATGCTCATCAGTTCAAAATTATAGTAGTTATTTGACCCGCCACTAGATCTTAGTATGTAATGTGCTCATAAAGAACATGTATTACTAAGTCACAATTTTAAAAAATATTTTGATAGGCACAGTCAATAGATTTGGTTTCCTTTGTAATCATTTGTATTTTTTATTGTATGAATTTTAAAACCTTGTTCTGAAAAGAGGTCTATAGGCTTCACCAGAATGCCAAGGCAACATAAAGTTTAGAATCCTTTTTTGTATGGGTCAACTCCAGTATCTTTAAAACTTACTGAAGGAAAGGAATTAAGCTTTCATTAACCCCTGCCTGGAGTCAGGCCCTGGGGGCACATGCTGGAGGTACAGAAGGGACAAGATGACCTCCTGCCTTTGCAGAGCTCACAGTCTAGGTGGGATATGCAATTTCACAACTCCTGCTACTCATTGTCCTGTGGGGTGAGGGCCCAGTTTCTCAGATCTTTCAGAATTTTAAGAAAAATTAGAAATCCAGATTTTTGTATGTTCCCATACAAAACAACTCTTCCAATATTTAAATGTTGGCAACTAGTCAAAACTTTTATAAACCACTATGTGGGCCAAATAAAGCATGTCTGAAGGCTAAATTTGGCCCAAAGGCCACCAGTTTTCAACCTTTGCTCTAGGAAAGCTGAATTCCAGTGAGGGTGGGACAAATTCATTCTGTAGAACAAAGCAGCAGGGAACCTGAGCACCCCCACCCACACCCCAGGGAAACAGGGGACTGGAGCCTTGGCTTTGAGAAGAGAGAAAATGGGAGAAAAAACTCTACTGTGGGCAGTGGGATTCCCTGTAACTTGGATGCAGACAGGGTGAGGAGACACATGGCTGGAGGTAGATGCTACTGTAATGAGAGTGCCAAGAGAATTGTGGGAATAATGAGGCAATTAAATTATTGTATATCTAGAAAACCTCAGAGCCTCTAGCAAATAAGATTTTTAAAAAACTGCAAAAGAATAAACCTATTTGAATTACTAAGAAAAAATGATGTTATTAAAGATAAATGGACAAAATCTATTGTTTTTTTATTTTTGACAGTAAATGCATATAAATGGAAATTTAAAAAATATTTCCATTACGATATTGACAAAAACTATATTCCGAAATAAATTTAACAAGAAAGATATAGGGCCTCTATGAAGAAAGTCATACAATCTTGTGGCAGGATAGAATACAAGATTTGAGGCCGGGCACAGTACCTCATGCCTGTAATCCCAGCACTTTCGGAGGCTGAGGCGGGTGGATCACCTGAGGTCAGGAGGTTGAGGAGACCAGTCTGGCCAACATGACAAAACCCCATCTCTACTAAAAACACAAAAATTAGCCAGGCGTAGTGGTATGCGCCTATACTCCCGGCTACTTGGGAGGCTTAGACAAGAGTCACTTGAACCTGGGAGGCAGGTGTTGCAGTGAACCAAGATCGCACCACTGCACTCCAGCCTGGGTGACAAAGTGAGACTCTCTCTCAAAGAAAACAAAAGAACACAAGATTTGAACAAATGGAAAGATACACCATACTCTTGGATGGGAAGACTTAGTACAGAAATGTCAAACCTCCCCAAATCAATTCTAAACAGAGTCCAATGATCTTGATGTTTATATAAGGAATAAATGCCTAATAATAGCTAAAAAGATATGAAAAATAGTAACAGTACAGATGACTTGTCTTGTAGATATCAGAACCAACTCTAAAATCAATCATTAGAGTGATGGTATAGAAACAGAGAAATAGATCAGTGAAAGAAAATAAGAAATCTAGAAATAGATATCAAATATATATCAGAATGTAATATTTGACAGAGTAACATTTTAATTATTTAATAAGCAATGTTTTCACAATTACTATTCATTTGGAAGCAAGTAAAATTGGATGATTATCCAACTTCAAAATAAAAAACACATCTCAGGTTGTCTGGGATGGTGGCTCACACCTATAATCCTAGCACTTTGGGAGGCCAAGGCAGTAGGATTCCTTGAGCCCAGGAGTTCAAAACCATCCTGGGCAACATAGGGAGACCCTCTCTCTATTAAAAACAGGAACAACAGGTTATGTAAAGATTTAAATATAAAATAAAAAGCAAGATAACACATTTTGTGTGGTTTTTTTTGAGATGGAGTTTTGTGCTTGTCACCCGGGCTGGAGTGCAGTGGCACCATCTTGGCTCACTGCAACCTCTGCCTCTTGGGTTTAAGCGATTCTCCTGTCTCAGACTCTCTAGTAGCTGGGATTACAGGCATGCACCACGAGGCTTGGCTAATTTTTTGTTGTTGTTGTATTTTTAGTAGAGATGGGGTTTCACCATGCTGGCCAGGCTGGTCTTGAACTCCTGACCTCAGGTAATCTGCCCACCTTGGTCCCCAAAAGTGCTGGGATTACAGGTGTGAGCCACTGTGCCTGGCCAAGATAACAAATTTTACAAGCAAATTTAGAAGACTATATGAGCAACCTGAGTAAAACTTAATAAAATTGTGAAATGATTAAGGAAAAGTGAGACTTTGGAAAATGTTGTAGGTCAAAAGATACCTGAGCAGGGACAATAGACAAATGAGTTAGGGAAATATGAGACAAAGTTTAACATCTGCAACGTACAATAAGGATTTACAAATAAGAATGACTTAACTCAATAGAAAAATGGGCAAGGATAAAAATGGGCAATTCATAGAAGAGTTCATCCAAATGGCCAAAAAAAGAAAAAGGAAACGTGCTCAGATCCAGCAGTAGGAAAACGCAACTTAAAGTAACAATGAGAGCTCATTTTATACCCACAGCTAAAACCTGCATTTCTGGACGGGAAGCACAGGGAAAGATATCTCATACGTTGTTTGTGGAAACGTGAAACATTACTGTTTTTTTGAAAAGCAAACATTATTAAAAGTATATATATAATATACATTAAAAACGTATAGAATTTATATATATCTCCATTGATCTAGCACCTCACTTTTAGGTATTTATTCCACAAGAACACAAACCTTCGAGAGTCTAGGCATCTGAATAGAATTTTTTTTGCCTCATGTTTATAGTTGAAGAAAAGATAAAGCTATTGTTCATCAATAGGTGGATGGCTGAATCAATCATGGAATATTCACACTATGGAATATTGTGTACTGTCACAAATGATTTGAAACTTATATCAGTTTATTTGGGGGGATTTCCTTGAAGTACTATTGAATAAAAAAAGCAAAATGCAAGAGAATATATAGAATATGATTCCATTTTTATAAAATAACAATTAAAATCTCTAATACATGCATATGTATGTTTACATACAATTTAAAAGTGTCTGTCGGTGATTATCCGATTATGGAGAAAACATACAGGAGGTTGGATACAATGGGTTACCTGGGGTCAAAGGGGAGGGTGGCATAAGCTGACATAAGCAGTGTGGAAAGAAAGGAGGGAGACATTTTTGGCTCATCCTCCACCAAAAATATAAAAAAGCAGAGGCCTTTGGAGTTGGACTCCCTCACCCTGCAGGAGCTAGGCCCCACCTCCAAAATGCTTCACTCCCTTGGCCACCCCTCCTACCACCCTGTACATGGCCTTCCATGTTTGTTCCATGATACTTAAATGAGGCAGTCAAATCACCAAGGGGCAGGGAGGGCGGAGGGGTCAGGGCTGCTTTCAGGGCATGAGAGAGGACCTCAGGGTCCAGAGTTCAGGCCCCACTCTCCCCAAGAGTGGGATTTGCCAAGGCAGCTTGGCAAATTCATGAGTGAGGGGAAGAGGCCACAGGGAGCGTTAATTCACTTGTTCTCTCAGCTGAAGTCCTCCTTCCATCTCACTGACAGGCCATGTCCTCAGAGAGGATTCTTCTGAGTACCACGCCTCAATGATCTCGCCCTTCACACCCTTTCCTAGCACTTATCACAATTTGCTATGGTTTTTGTATGTGTGTTTAATGTCTATTTCCTCTATAAGCGCCACACGGGGAAATACACTCGCAGCGCCCAGTATGAAATATGGCAGGGCTCTGGAAACGCTGGCTGCTTTCAGTCATTGGCTTCCTCTCTCCTCCATTGACTCACTCTTTTATGCATTTCTTTATTCATTTTTTCCCTTATTCACTCCAGAAACATGCTATTGGTTCATGCTTTTTCCTGATGTGAATCTTCCGCTTTCTAGGGTGAATTTTTTGGAGAAGGTGGGAGTGGGGACATGATGGCAGAAGTCTGGGAATGCATCCACAACTTGGGAGGGCCTAGCTGGGTGAGTTGGAAGTTCTCCAGGGAAGGAGGGAAGATTCCGGAAGGCCAGAAGTCTCAAGCAGAAGGTGCCAAAGGAGGAGAGAGGTGAAAGTGATGTGGTGGAGGCTGGGCCAGGCAGACCCCTCTACTCCCAGGCATGCCCTGGCTTTTCCCACTGCCAGGCCTCAGCTCCTGCCATTTGTTCTGCCTGGAAAGCCTCTTGCCATCTCCACGTGTTGAAAGCCTACCCTTCCTTGCAGAGCCAGCCCAGATGTCCTCAAAGTCTTGCCTCACTCCACCAGCTGGAAGGCCCGCTCCCTGCTGCAAACAAACTTCCCGAGCAGAGAATCTGGACCTCCCTCGAGGAACTGACCACTTCCTGGCTTGTGCTGTGGCGTGGCCCTTCTCTCCACCCCATAGGCAGAGGCTCTATCCAACTGTTCCCGGTATCCTGCAGGGCTAGGGCCCAGCACAGAGCAGATGCCCGAGACACTCTGGCTGGACGAATGAGCACTGCTGAGTTTGGAGTAGGGCAATGATTATAACCCCATTTTACAGATGCTGAAATAGAGGCACAGATAAGTGGTGGACTTGGCCTTGGTCCCACAGTGAACAAGCAGCAGAACCTAGACTCAGGCCTGCGTTTCTGGTCCCAGAGGCCATGGTCTTTCTAGCGCAGCTTGGTGGGAGGTGAGGTAGGGTGGCGTAGAGTAAGATGCGGGTCCTGGGAGCCAGCAAGCCAGGAAGAGCTGGAGTTTGGACGGCCAAGTTCAGGGAAAGCGCAGCTGGGGAGGAGCCAAGGTATTTATTATGCTTGGTCTCCAGTTCCAAACAGAGCTGATGGATGGAGCTACTCCAGTTCCTATAAACAGCTCTGGCCTCCCTCCCCCAACCCTCTCCATTCTCAGCCACCACAGCCCATGTGTTTCCAGTGTGATAGGGGTAGGGGTGGGGGTCGGGGGATGACCAAGAAGAGAGGAATGGGAGCGAGGGGGGTGAGCAAAGGAGGGGGAAAGACAAAGATTAGATGGTGTCCTAGAGGCCCCAGGAAGTTGCAGAGAACGGAGGGTGGTGAGAGAGGATTCTTGGCCTTCCCACCAGCCCCCGCTGCAGTGGGCGGCCTGAAGTCTGCATTCCCCTGTCCTCTCTGTGTCCCCTGGGTCTGTTCAGAAAGCCTCCTCACCACATTCTCTGAGAGTTTGTCTCAACTCCACAAGCTTCTGAGTCCTGGAGGGCAGGGGGCATTCATTCTGAGCTGGCTTTAGTCTGTGTTGGCTCACAGGCCCTGGGGACAGAGAGGACTCCGGGTAGGACCTTCCCCCAGGAGCTCCTGGCTTGGTGGCCAGGTCAGGCAGACACTGCTGAGGGCAGCCTAGGGCTATGGGCAGCTGGAGGAGGGAAATCCAGACAGTCTCCCCAGAGGTGGTGATGGCGGTGATGGCGGCAAGGGTGGTGGAAGGAGATTGTGCGGGTGGGGCGGGGGCTGAGCTGGTTCTGGCAGAGGAGGCGGGAGAGGTGCAGGAGGCAGTGCCGCCTAATGGTTAAGACTGCCGGCTCCAGAGTGGGGCAGCCTGGGTTCAAGTCTCATCGCTGGAACTCAGTTCTCTAAAATGGGGATGGTAACAGTAGAAACCTCTTCAAGGTTGTCGGAATGAAACACAACAATGCAACAATCCAGTGCTCAGCATGGACTCACCCGGATATGCTTAACAATGGCCATCTCTGAGCATGCGGTGAGAGGTGGTGGGAGAGAGATGGGCCTCACGGGCCCTTGAGCTGCCTGAAGGACAGGGGCACAGAACACAGACGGCAGGTCCCAGATCCTGGAGGGTGTGGCCAGCCTGTGGGTCTGAGAGAGTGAGTCGCTGGCGTGTCCCGGACCCTGTTACTGGCGGAGTGGCATGCCAGCAAAGGGAACCCCAGGAGCTGGGTGCACCTCAGGCTGACTGTAGCCTGGAAGTGGCAGGACCTCCTCTCTCCCTGCAACTTGCCGAGAGCTTGGGAAGCTGGATGCTCCGATGACCTAGTTGGCAGCTGTGTCCACATTTGGCTGAAAACAGGAATTTCTGCCTCACTGGGGGTCTTGGCCAGGTGAGCAAACTCCCCTGTTTGTCAGGAAAAGGGGTCGGGGCCTGGTGGGCTCCCTGCTGGAGCGGAGGCCTGCAAACCCTGGGCTCAGCTCAGTCGGAGCTCCTGCCTTCCCCTTGGGACTTCATGGAGCACCTACTGTGTGCCAGGGTGCTCTCCTCCAGTGTGTATAGGGCTCTCTCCTCTCTCCCCCGCCCCTACGTCATGAAATAGGCATTTAGAATTTCCCTTTGCAGACAGGGAGCCAGGTGCAGGAATGGGGAGGCGAGAGGGCATGGACCAGAGAAATGGAAGAATCCCTAGGAGGCAGAGCTGCCAGTGCTGGGCCCAGGGGCTACTGGGCCGAGGGGAGGGGTCCAGACTGCCTGCTGGTGGGAAGGAGAAGCATCACAGAGCAAGAGCTTGGGGGAGAGGCAGTCAGGGACGGGAAGGAAGGTTGACAAGGTGGCAGTGCCAGGCTGCTGAGAGGTGAAGTGGGCCACTAGGGGACAAGCTTATGAACACAGGAGGAAGGTGTGAGGGCCAGAGGAACAACCACTCCTGCTTTGTGTGCTCTGCCCTGGACTGTCACACCTCTCAGTGCTCCTGTGCCCAGGTGAGGCTGCTTCTGTCCCATACCCCACACTCACCCTCCAACTCCCAGCCAGGAACAAGGTATGGTTTTCTACTAAGTTCAACCTTGATCTGCAGCCCAGCTGATCATTGAATTCTCCAGGCCCTGGAGACCTTTAGCCTTCTACCTGGGGAGGCCTCTGGGAACCAGAGTTGGACTTTCGAGAGGGGTGGGGCTGGAGACAGGGATGTAGGCCATCAGAGAGCAAAGGGCGTTTCCCGCAATGAGGCCATGGGTTCCCGAGGGAAAAGCGCCTCGGATGGAGCCCTGGCCATCACCATTTAGAGCTGGCTTGAGGAAGATGAGCAAAGAAGCAAAGAAGCCCCTGAAAAGCAGTGACCTGGGAGGGAGGGGACAGCTTCCTATGTGGAACCACAGCTGTGGGGAGAGCAGGGGCATGGGTGGGGGGCCCGCTGCACAGGGCCCAGGGAGAGAAGGTCTAAAAAGTGTGCTGAGTTTGGCAAAGGATACCCTTGGCATAGTTAGCAAAGGCAGCATGGGGCTGGGAGGGGCTGAAGGTAGCTACAGGCAGGTTGAGAGTGGGAAGAGTGGGAAGGGAAGCAACTTTACCAAGAAGCTGGCCTGTGACAAACAGGAGGAGGAAGGGGAAAGTGGCTGAGGGGCTTCTCCCTATTAAGACGGACAAGTCTTGAGTCCAGCTGAAGTCTGAGAGGAAGATATGAATAGAGATGGAGAGGCTGGAGGCAGAAGAGAGCATGATGGGGCATGGGAGAGGATGGGGCTGCGGACCCCCAAGGAGGAGGGGCAGCGCCGCCTCTGAGATGGGGCACAGAGGGCTGAGTGCAGAGAAGGGGAGGGGGCCTGTAGTTGTAGCAGGAAGGAAACAAACAAAAGCCTCCAGCCTCTTAGCCTTGGGGAGCAGGGTCGCCTGTTGTGTGTGGGGTCACAGAGGTGTAGTAGGGGCTGTGCTAGTAGCTGAGGCTCCAAGGTCCAGAGTGGTGCTGACCCAGAGCCTCCGTGACCCCAGGGATTTGCCATGAGGATTGAACAACCATATGGGAGTTGAGGAGCAGGGTTCAAGTGGATGTAACGAATCGGATAGCAAAGAGGAGGCTGGCAACCACACTGCTTCTCCAAAATAAGCTTTTAATACATTCAGGTAGGTTATACAAAGAGCTGGTCCCAAGGCCTGGGCTGTGGCCTGGGTCCTGGGTCCTGGGAAGTGATAGCAGCATTGTGTAGTGTTTTCAAAGATCAGGCGTGGGAACCCATACCTTGGCCTCCAGGCCTAAGGAAGAGCGTTATGTGGAGTAGCACCTGTGGTCCTGATCCCAGCCAGGACTGGGTCTGCCTGGCTGCCCCACGCATCACCAGGGTCTAGCCCTGGCTCTGCCCATTGACTCTCCCTTAACTCCTCTGGGCCTTGGTGTTCTCATCTGCAAAATGGGATGGAGACGTGGTGGTTTCATTTTATCACACATTACTGAGGCCACATCATGAGCCAGACTGTGGGCCAAGCACAGGTAAGCTGACGAAGACAGTAACACAGGGTCTTGAGTTGGTCCCAGGGCTTCCATTCTTCCCAGACAGTTCACGACTCCATGGTGTGAGGGACAGGGGTTATCCGGGTGAGCCTTTCTACCTGAATTTTTAGGGGGGAAAAAAATCCTTGCATGATGACGTACAGAAAGGAAGTTTGGAGCCAGCATTATCTTGTGATGTGACAGGCAAGAGACGACACCACTCTGGTCCAACCCCCATCTCACCCCACCAAATAAGGTCTGACTCTTTTTTTTCCCCCACATGCTCTGACACTGACTTGTACAGCTTTCTGTAAGTTTCATTCTCTTCCTGAACCTCAGTTTCCCCATCTTTGCAATGGGCGGGGGCTGGATTCAATAGTCTCAAACTCCAGGCTCTGCTCAATAGAGGAAAAGGGAGTGAGAGAATGCAAGAGCAAGGAGAGAACAGGCCCCATACCAGGGTGCAAAGGAGGGGAGGAGGGAAACTAAGAAGGAGGAGAGGGCCCGTGGCTGCCTGCCTAGGAGAGAGGAGAGAGCAGATGTGCATGGCACAGGATGCTTCCAGACCCTGCTTGGGCTATGTGGGACCACTTCCTGTTCTCTTAATGGCCTGCAGCCCTTGCAGTGGTAAAGATCCAGGCCCTGGAGACAGAAGGATGAGGGTTTGAATCTCACCTATGGCATTAGTTAGCTGGGGCCATGGAGGAAGATTTGCAGAACTTCAGTTTCCTCTTTTATAAAATAGGGATAAAATATCAACCTCTAAGGGCTGTCATATAGGAGCAAGGCTCGGATTCACATCCACATCTGTCAAGCTGGGTGCAAAACAGAACCAGACATCTAAGGTTCTAGCTCCTGGCACAGCAGCCAAGATGGGGCTGGGACGGAGAAGGGAGGCTGGGCAGGGAGGGGCTTAGAGCAGTACTAGGGTCAGGGTGTGCAACATGAGAGTGCCAGGTAGAGAGAGGACCTGTCCAGAGCAGGAGACGGAATGGCCCAGTGCTGGGCTAGACCCCTTAACCAGACCCTGCTGGAGCTGCCACAGCCCACCTAACAGCACCACATCCAAGACACACTCGGACGGCTCCCAGTTCTCTCTTTCTGTCATAAGCGCTTCATTTTCAGAGAGGCTGAAAGTCATTATTAAATGTGACAAACAGTCTGCTTGGAAATGTCTAAGACAAATCCTCCTGGGCTTGGCCCTTTCTGGCCCTGGCATTGCTGGGGCCGGACTCTCCGCCCTGAACCAGCAGGGCCTGCCGAGCTCCAGACCCCTGGGCTTTCACTCCTCAGGCCCTGAGCACACTGTGTGGTCACGGTGTGGCTCTGCAGCAACCCCTCCTACCAAACTGGGAGATTCTCGAGGGCAGGAATGTATCTCATTTCCCAGCGTTCCCAGTGCCCAGAGCAGGGTGTAGCACAAAATAGATGTTCATTGAAGATTTGTTGATCTGATGGGTCAACATTATTCTCTGCTGTCCCTGAAACCGCCCAACCTCTGGCTTCCACAGCTGGACCCAAAGTGCAGCCCAGGAAGGGAGTCACCCGCTGATGCAGCAGGCGGCAGAGAAAGGAGTACTGGGCTGCGATTTGGGGACCAGTGTTCTGGGACCCTGGGTCACTGTGTGACCTTGAGTCAGGCCTCACTCTTCTCTGTACCTCAGGCTCCTGCACTGACCTAGAGCATCTCCCGGCTTCTTTAGGCTTTACATTGTTGGTTAAACTTCTGCCGGCGGAGGCAGCAACAGGTGGCGAGCGTGGTGAGGAGGATGGCAGAGACCAGTATGAAGGTGAGGATGATAATGAGGTTGATGTTCTTGAGCCCCCCCTTCTCACAGTCCTCGGGACGCACGTGGCTCAGAGACACCTCCTCCTGAGAGCTGAAGCGGCAGATCAGGTCCTGGGTGGCGTCCACATCCACTCGGCCCTGGTGCAGCTGGGCTGCCAGCCAGCCATTGCCGCAGCAGCTGAGTGGATTCCCCTGCAGGTAGAGGCGTCGGAGGCTGGTCTCCAGGCCACCCATGGCACTGCCTGGCAGGAGGCTGAAGCTGTTGTTCCGCAGGTCCAGCACCTCCAGTGACACGGCCTGTGTCCAGGCGGGAAGGTGGCTCAGGCAGTTCTCAGCAAGATTGAGCCGCTTGAGGCAGCTGAAGTAGGGCAGGTCCACCTGCAGGACCGCCAGCCCATTACCCTGCAGTGCCAGGACCTCCAAGGAGGCCTCCAGACCTGCCAAGGCCCCCCTGGCCACCACTAGCCCAGGGTTGGAAGAGAGGTCCAGCTCAGTCAGTGGGGTGTGGAGGAAGGCCCCTGCTCTGAGCATCTCTATCTCATTATCCACCAGGCTCAGGCTGCGGAGCGAGGAGATGCCGGAGAAGGCCACACAGCTGGAGGGGCCAGGCTCATCTGGACCCCCACAGGGGCTGACCCGGTTCCCCTGCAGGTTGAGATGCTGCAGGCTGGCCAGGTTGGCAAAGGTGTATAGGGGCAGGTCCCGCAGGGCATTGCCCTGTAGGAGCAGCGTCCGCAGGGACCCCAGGGCTCTGGTGCCCAGTTCCAGTGCCTCCAGGGCATTGTGGCTTAAGTCCAGGAGCATTAGGCAGGACAGGGAGCCCGAGCGCCGGGCCTCAAAAGCCCGCAAACAGTTTCGGCTGAGGTTCAGGAAGCACAGGGAGGTCAGGTGCTCAAGAAAGCTGTCAGGGATGAGCTCAATCTCATTGTAGCTCAAATCCAGATTCAAGAGCTGGGAAAGGGGGTGGGCACTGGCATTTCCCCTGGGGTTTGAGAGGGGCAGGGCTGACCAGCCCTCAGAAGGTGCGTGGATGGCCTTGCTGTGCTGGGGTGGCCCTGTGGGGAGCCGGATGAGGTTATTGGACATGTTCAGGTAGATGAGTCTTGGGAACGCGGCCAGGTCAGGAAAATGGAGCAGTTTGTTCTCCCGCAGGTCGAGCCAGGTGAGCTGGAACTCGGCTTGGGGCATGGGGGCCGTCTGAAAGGTCTCGATGCTATTGCAGCTCAGGTCCAGCACCTGCAGCTGCAGGAGGCTGAAGTCAGAGATGCAGGTGAGGGAATTCCTGGAGAGGTTGAGATGGGTCAAGCGGGGAAGGGCTTCGAAGGCGCCGTCCTCGATGTCCATCAGCACGTTGCTATGTAGGTCAAGCCGCTCTAGCGCAGGCATGCCCCGGAAGGTGTGGTGGGTGAGGCGAGTCAGACTGTTCTCCGCCAGCGAGAGGGTATGCAGGCGGGGTGCCTCCTCCAGCAGCTGCTCCAGCAGGCCGCTGTACAGGCTGTTCCCAGACAGGTCCAGGGAGGTCACGTGTGGCAGGGGGCCCAGGCCGCCAGTACTCAGTACAGTGCCCACTGCCAGCCGGTTGTGGGCCAGGCTGAGGTGCTGCAGGTGGGGCAGGGCCTGGAAGGCTCCTGGCTGGAGGGAACTGATCTCGTTGCTGCTCAGGTCCAGGTGACGAAGTGCCATGTAGAGGCCCAGGGGTGAGACCAGGATACTCCGCAGCTTGTTCCCAGATAGATCGAGGGTCTCAGTGTCCAGTGGGAGCCCCAAGGGGACCTGAAGCAGGCCCATGCCCTGGCATGAGACCTTCTTGTCTACCTGGGAAGGGGGAAGGTGGGGAGACAGCTGGCATGAGTGGGCGTGACAGGGGATGAAACCAGACATGCTTACCCAGGAAGGACTATGAGACCCCTGCCCGGCTGGGGAACCCTTCTCCCGTGGACTCCCAGAATGCTCAACTTTTCCTCATCACAGCTTGGTCACCCATGCCTGGATGACCTGTCTGGCTCCTGATCCATCTCAGGCACCCAGCACAGTGCTGGACATTAGGAAGGAACTTGATGAGGGTTCCACGGGAGGATAGATGGAGAGATGATAAACAGATAGAAGGATAAATGAACTAGTAAAGAGAAACCCTGTACTCATTATTACCCCTCTTATGGAAACAGCTGTATATCCCACAGAGTGACCCCGAGCCCGTGAGCAGTAGGGCGGAGCTGGGACCCAGGGCTCCTGGTTGCATATCCTGGGTCCCTTCTAGGGCACAGATAGTTAAATTTCCAGTGGTAGATGGGAATTTCTTCACTTTGGGAGAAATGTTTCTGAAAGGGAAAACTGTAACTTGTGCTCTGTCATCAGTTTTTGTGTGGTCTCCGCCTCAGACCTCATTCACGATCTCATGTCGTGGGCACTGCCTGGGTTCTGGGGCCTGCCTTCCTTGTGGATGCTTCCCAGATGTGGCCTCCTCTCTGCTGCTGTTACCTGTTCCCTGTAGGGGGTGGCTTTCTTCCCAGGCTGGGTCGGGGGATTGGGAGCCTGGAGGTGGCAAGGGGCAGGGAAAAGATGGCCAGGGCCAAATTCACAGTCTTTGGTGACAAGACGGTGCTTGTGCTGTGTGACCTCGAGGAAGTCACATAACCACTCTGCTTTCTTATATCCTTCCCCAGTAGCCACTCAGCATTTGACATCTTAGTTAATACTTTCAGGCCTGTAGTCCCATTGGTTTTTACCATAGCCTGCCCATCTGATACAATCACCCCTATTTACAGAAATCTAGGCTCAGGGAGGGGAAGGGATTGCCCAGCTGGTGAGGAGCAGAGCTGGGATTTCAATACAGGTTTTTAACAACCAAAGGCCCCACTCTTGTTCTTCCACAGATGTGCCTTCTGGGGCCAAAATTCCTTCTGTGCAAATGCAGGTCTCCCTTTTCTCTTCAGGCCTCCAGGAACCCTAGCCTTTCCCAGAAAAGGGTCTGACTTCCACAATCACTGGGCTCAGGCTCGCCACCCACAGCTTCTGTCTCCGCTGACCAGTTCTGACCAATTCACTGCTAAATGCCTGACAGCTGCTCTAAAGGTCCATTCTGACTGTGTGGTACCTGGGCTTAAATCCCTCCAGGGTGAAGTCTGGGACCCTCATCAGGGTGTTCGAGGCTGCTTGTAGCCCCTGCCAACCTGTCCTCCACCTCCCACCCCAGCCCACATGCAGTGACCACAGCTGGCCACTGCCCATCATGCCTTCCCACACCCACCGCTGGGTCTCGTCCCTGCACTGGATACACTATCCATCCCCAGCCAGCTCCACACGTGAACTCTTCACGCTGACCCCTCCCTGACTGTGCTTCCTCTCAGAGCTCTGACCCGCTGAACTGTGGCTGTTTGTGTGGGGACCTGCTAGACAGTGAGCTCAGAACAAACACGGACTGGTTTGGTGGATGTGGATGCCTCGGACCTGACTCGCAGGTCATTTCTTCCTAATGAATGAGTTCCAGACGTCATTCGTTCAGTAAAATTCTGAGGTACTAAATCAATCACTTCTCTGGTAGGAAAGAAAACAGATGGTTGATATTTTAAGAATACAGTCAAATACAGCCAGAGCAAGAAGAGTTCCGTTCACCCACTTCCTGGAAGGGGACACTGAGGCCTGAAGATGGCAGTGACTTGCACAAAGTCACAGTGAGTCAATGGCTGAGCTGGTAGGGAAGGAACACAGGCCTGCCTGTTCCTCTCCTGGCCCAGCTCTGTGCTTCCTCCTGAGAGCCCCAAGGTGAGTAGGGTCTGCTGGTGGGCAGGGCTGCTCTGGGAGGCCCAGCTATCCAGTTCAGTCCAGGAAGGGCTTGAAGGCCAGGGCGGTGCTCAGAGCTGCACTTCCGGGGTCCCCATGCCTCCTTCAGCTCTGAGCTCCCAGCATTGCCTGACTTACCGTGGGAGGGAATTGGAGGAATTAGCCCTTTGCCAGAGTTTAGCACTCCCACCCACTGTCCTGGGCTATCGGGATGCCACTGCCCAGATTCCTTTTGAGAACCAAAGACTTGCCATCCAACTCCATTTCACCATCTCATCATGGAGGAACGCAAGGTAAGGAGAGACACCAGGCAGTCAAGGAGAGCTGGGTTCGTAGGTCCCTGGTAGGTCACACGTCTTCTTAGCTCCCTTGTGTATTCTCCCCATGCTGGTTCAGAAAGCGCTTTCCTATCTGTTATCTCATTTCCCCAGACTCCAAAACTTACCCACTTCCCCTCTGCCTGTTGGGTGGTCAAGGCCTTTCCCTCTGGGCCTCGTCTCCCTGAGGTAGAATGTGCGTTTGTATTTGGTGATGCCTGAGGCCTTCTCTGCCAGTAATTCTGGGCTCGAGGAATGTTAGAAGGGCTCTGAAGAGCAAGAAGAGCAGTGGCAGAAGGAGACATTGCACCCCCAGGGAAGGGCTGCAGGCAGGCAGCTGCCAGCACCTCCTGCGTCCTGAAGCAGCTGCCTGTTGAGTGTCATAAGCTTCTTCGGGTCTCAGGTCCAAGACGAGCTTCTGGAGGGCCTCTCCTTTCCCGGCCAGGCTCTGGCCTTGACCTCAGTGACTGCCCAGCCTTACAGTGGACCTACATGTTCTCTTTTCCCTGTACCTCATAAGATCACAAGAACTTTAGGAGGCCAGGCATGGTGGCACTTGGAGAGGCCAAGGTGGGTGGATCATGAGGTCAGGAGTTCAAGACCAGCCTGGCCAACATAGTGAAACACCGTCTCTGCTACAAATACAAAAATTAGCTGGGTGTGGCGGCACATGCCTATAGTCCCAGCTACTTAGGAGGCTGAGGCAGGAGAATTGCTTGAACCTGAGAGGTGGAGGTTGCAGTGAGCTGAGACTATGCCATTGCACTCCAGCTTGGGTGACAGAGTGAGACTCCATTTCAAAAAAAAAAAGAAAAATATTTTATGGCTAGTTTTCCTGGCTTGGGGCAGGGAAAAGGAACAAAAGCAAATCAAAGTTGGTCCTTGCCCTCCTTGCCCTGAGGAACTTCATGGTCTGGTAGGTGAGATGGGCTTGGACCCACTCACCAACTACCCCACATGCTCAGTCTGCTCGGTATTAAGACAGAGGGAAGCCTGGGCACCGCAGGAGCCCAGAGGAAGGGCGTGACCAGACTAGGTCAGCCTAGAAGGGGGCTGGGGTGGCTTCCTGGATATGGCAGCATTTGACCTGGGCAATAAGGAGTGAGAGGCATCCTAGCGGGAAGTCCCAGGTCAAGGAGCCCAGTTAGGAAGGGGATTTATTTGTCCCCAAGGGGAATCAGCACAGAGGAGCTCCTCACAGCTGGCCTACCCCAAATTCCCCACACATATATAATTCCAACTGGGCCTAGTGTTCTGTGGGGACAGCTTGGGGGAACACAGTCTAATCACTGTTCCCAGCTGAATGACCTTGGACAAGTCACACTTCTCCAAGCCTCAGTCTCCTCCTTTGCAAAATAAGAATGATGTTGGGCAGGACTGTTGGGTAAACAAGGTATTTAAACATTCTAGTAGGTGTTCATTAAACGCAAGGTGCATTGCCTTTCCTCTCCTGACTCTTCTAACTTCTGGCTTCTGGGGCTGGGTCACTAGCACACCCTAGGACAGAGAGGTGGGGGTGGCCCTCACCCTGTCTGGGTAGAACATCTTACCATCTTACAGGGCACTTTGTCTTGGCGTTGTGCAGTCAGGTCTAGGGTCAGCAGGGCGAGGAGCAGCAGGATCTGGGGGCTCATGGCTCTGTATAGGGGGAGAGGAAAGGGGAACACTGTAAGACCCTTGGCTCCTTCCCACTGCCAGCCCCCATGCCCACCCATTCCGTGCCTGTCCTTGGGGAACCCCAGAGCATGGCTGAAGCTGGAATAAAAGTGTTTTGAGCAGGGCAGGGAGCAGGTGGGAAATGGGCCTGCAGCCCATCACGGAAGGCCTCTTACCCAGGCCAAGGAGTTGACCCCTTACCCAGGGAAAGCAAGAGTTTAAAAATGGCATGTGACTTAGTCAGATGGGGTTTTCAAAAGACCCTACCTGGTGGAAGACAGCCTGGAGGGGATGTACAGAGGCTGATGGACCCTAAGGGTTGCCCTGGGCCATGCTCAGTGTCTGGGATTGGGGGTGTGGGGGTGGAGAGGGGGCTTGGAGAGTGGGCCTCTGACTATATTTCCACCCAGGTCACAGATGTCCTCCATCCCAGCTCCTCAGTCTCTACGGAATTCCTTGTTTTCTGCCCACCCACCTGCCCCCCTTATATTTTGCCCTTTGATTCTCCCACCCTTGCCATTGTTCAAGGCTGGGCCCAGGCCTTGACAGGAAGCCCCACAGGAGGCCTGTGCTGTCCCAGCCTGCTCTGTGGACTTCCCCAGGAACAGCCTGGCAGGCCCTGTACTTTCACTAAAGCCACACTCCAGCCTCCTGGGCCAGCCCTTTGCTCTAAGAGCAGCCAGGGGTGGGGCTAAGAGACTGCGCACAGGCCCTCAGCAGGGTCAAATCCCAGTGCTGCTGGAGACTCCCTCACTCCCTCACTGAGGACATGAGCCAAGTGCTAGGGACATACAAATCCATCCATGAATTTCACTCATTCATTCATTCATTCATTCACACCTTTACTGAATGCCTCCTCAGGTCTGGCTCTGTGCTGGGAACTGGGAGCTCAAAAAAAAATTGAACACAAAAAGGAAGCAATGGTGATACAGACAGAGTCTTAAAGAGGGATACAGGAAGTCTTCCAAGAGGACCGGACTCAGAGTCACCCACATCTGACTGCTCCATCTTGTCTCCTCTAGTTTCCTGTTGTGTGACCTTACAAGTCATTTCACCTCCCGGAGCCTCAATTTCCTCATTTGAGGTTAATGGCAGCCACACCAGGTTTTGTTGAGAATCAAATGAGATGCCACTTACAGAACCCTCATTATGCACTAGGCCCTCTTCTCGGCCCTTTCTAGGCATGAACTCAATGACTTGGTTCCATGATCATTTTACAGAAGAAAAAAGGAAGGCTCAGAGAGCTTAGGTACTATGCCCGAGGTCACGTGGTTAAGGAGCCGCCGGCCCAGGCGATCTGTGCCCTGGGTCTGTGCCCTTCAAATCCACACTCTTGGCTGCCTACAGTGGGTGCTCCCTGAGTGCGTGCTGAACCGCTTCCCCTCTGCCTATTCCCCTCAGCATCTGAAGGATGCTGCAGGAGAAACGGCATTCACAGGGCTTTTGAGGGCAGTGTCTTTGACTGTTGGAACCCGTTAGTGACGAGCTCTGGATGCAGATGGCTGCACTGAATCTCGTCCAGTTCTGTCACTGGCCAGCCCCAACTATGGTGATGATCAGGCAAAGAATGGCGGCAAAGGTGCCCTGTGTCCTCACTGTCCTTCCCAGCTGGTACAGTGACCCTCACAGGTCTGGGCATCCCAGGTGAGACATGCTCACTGGGGAGGCCCCGCGCCTGCAGACAAGTGGCCTGGGCAAGAGGAGGCAGGAGACATCTCAGGAGTCCAACTCAGAAAAGTGCCAAAGACTGTGTGTGTGTGTGTGTGTGAGTGTGTGTGTATGAGAGAGAGAGAGAGAGGGAAAGAGAGAGCGCGAGGGTACAGGGGGCAAGATTACTATCACAATAAGTCCACCCCTACATTTAAGAATGTTAGACAGTCTTCTAAGCACTTGACCTATATCATCTCATTTAATTCTCACAATCACCTATGGAGGCAATTACTGTAATTCCCATTTTACGGATGAGAAAACTGAGGTTCCGAAAAGTGAAGTGACTTACCCTCAGAGTTACCCAGCTCATAAGGGCTTTGGAGAAGGGATTTATCCAGGTCTACATGACCTGAATCCTGTGTTTTCTCTAGCACATCCTGAGCCAACTCCCCGCTACAGAACTGTCTTCTTTTGCCCATGACAAAAAGGAGGCTCAGAGAGGTGACTTACCCAAAGTCACACAAGGAGCAAATAGCAGAGTCAGGATCAGAATCTAGTTCATCTGCCTCCAGAGCAAATGTTTCCATGATACCAGACCAAGGTCTCCTTCACTAAGCCCTGCTAACGACCCCTCCCACGCAGGAGTAGGGCTGACTAGCTCACAGTCTGGGCTGGGAGGTCCTCCCTCTCCCTCCTCTCGGCCTCAGCTAACTTACTGGCAGAGTGGGGTCCTGGGAGAACTGCTGCGGATGTTCCTGTCGAGCAGTGAATCACTAAGGGCAAGCCTCGTTTTGGAGACATGTGCATCCCACGGGGGAATTAGACCTTAACCCAAAGGAATGTGGCTGTGATGGCGGAATTTCAGGCAGCTCGGGGTGGGGGTGGGAGTCCCTCACATCTTACCACCCATGAAGAAGGCTGGCTTCAGAGCCCCTTGGAGAGCAGTAGGTGCCCCTCACCCCACTATGAGAGGTGGGCAGGCCATCTAGTGTTGTGGGATGGGCAGCCCCACGCCTAGCCATTATGGGAGCGTTGCAGGAAACCTGAATTCAAATCCGTCTGCCCTTGCCTAGCTGTGTGTTCCTGGGCAAGTCCCGGCCTTCAGGCCGTTTTTCTCCCAGCTGTCAAATGGGAACGCCAGCCTCACCCCCTTGCGGGAAAGATGCGCCGAGACCGGAACCTGCGGGCCTCCCCGGGATCGAGGGAGGCTCTGCCACGGCTCCACGCGCGCAGTGTGGGCAGCGGGAGGGGAGGTTTTGGGGGGGCGTCCCGTGGGACAAGCTCCCGGCCTGCTCTCGCAAGGGATGCTCGACAGTGCGACCACCTAGGGGCGGCCAGCCTCGCCCGCCGGGCGGCTCCTACCTGGCTCAGCGCGGCCGCAGCTCCTCTCCTGGGCAGCCTCCGCACATTTTGCGCAAACTCGCCCCCGGGTCCCACCCCGCGCCAGACCCTAGGGTCACGGCCAGAGGAGGCGCAGGCCGCTCGGCTGCCCCACGGGAGCCCCGCGCTTCGGCGGTAATTTAAATACCTCTCACACGCGCCCGCCACGCCACGCCCCCCTCTGGCGAGGCTGCGGGGTCCTAGCGCCCGGCCCGTGCCTCGGTTTATCCAGAGCCGACGGGACAGGGTGGGGCGGAGAAGCCTCTTCACCACCCTGGGACGTCGGCTGGGAAGGGGCGAGGGCCCAGGGGCGGGAGGGAGAGGGGTTGCAGAGGAAGCGCCGCGGGAGAGGCGCGTCCCGGTGGTCGCGGCA